ATTAACATGTGCAATAACCTGCTGTTTACGTTCTTAATCGCAGATTGATACCTGCCCACGAATAGAACCCCGCTGGCGAAACACAAGTGCGTGACCAGCGCTAAATCCACACGCACACTGCTAAACAGGGGCGAAATATGAAACTAAATTAACTTTTGTTAAGGAAAACTTATATCAATTTCCGCTTTCCGTTTACATCCTACTGTAAAATCTTAGATCTAATGAACGGACATCATTCTGAAAGCACTGCCATTATACCAGCATAAATGTTTCCAAGCTCATTTTTCTCGAGTGAAACACTCAATTCTCAATATCCTATCAATTCTCTTACCAGATTAAGCTATTCATCAAATTCGTTTCCCCTGACAGTACACATGGTCATGATATATTATGTTAATTCCAAGATGACAGCATGAAGCTGTTTGAAGCTCTATGTAAAGAAGATCTTTTAAAACCAAATAATGCATAATTATAACGTTCTAGAGAAAAATAACACTGCATATTTATGGGTAGCGATATTTGCAAACTGAAAACTGGGGCGAATAAATATTTTGAATCTACTTCCTAAATATCCTGATGGTGAAGGCTAAAATATTTCAAGTTTAAGTAACTTCGAGGAAATCAATACTCGCACAACCAATTCCAAGAAGCGTTCATACCAAAGAAAAACTAACCAAACAATCCAGAATGTAAAGTGCTTGTATTTTCATTCGCCAGGAACTTTTAAACTTCCCCTGAAATAATTTCTAAGAGTTGAATGAAAATGCACACGCAAAAAATGTCCTAAGAAAACATCCGATGACCGGAACACTGACAGCCGATCGCTGGATTGAGTTAAATTGTAGAAAGTGCTGGAACGAGTGATGACCGAGCTGGTAGAATGGGAAATTGAGAGTAGGGAAATGAGAGTGACTGGGAACGGGATAACGAGATTGGGAGTGAGAGAATGAGTGGGCGAGAGAACGCGAACAGATGAGAGGATGCCAACACCCACAGAATATGAGTGGGCGAGAGAGCGCGAGCGGGCGATGGGACGCGAACAGATGACAACGCGAACGAGCGAGCGAACGCGAACGAGCGAGAGAACGCGAACAAGCGAGCGAACGCGAACGAGCGAGAGAACGCGAACGTGCGAGAGGATGCCAACGCCGACAGAATGTGAGTGGACGAGAGAGCGCGATCGGGCGATGGGACGAGAGTGTGAAAGAACGAGCGTTCGCGCTTGCGTGAGAGAGCGAGGCAGTCTCACGTGAGTGCGCGAGCGAGGGGTGGGAGGGGCTGCAGGTGTCCGCGTGGCCGCCGCCTCCAGTTGTCACCCGGCCGCCTGCAGCGCCAGTCAAAGGTCAGGGCCGCCCCACCCGCCCCGCCTCCCTCGAGCAGCGTCGCCCGTCGCTTGGCAACGCGCGCGTCAGCGCCGCCCCGTGACGTCACGGGCCCCGCCCTCCGACACCGCCCCCTTGCCCTGCTCTGCTGTGCTCTTCTCGTCGGCGCCGCTCCGAATTTCTGCGCGCTCAGCAGCTTTACTCGGGCGCGCGCAGGCCACAAGCAGAAGACCTCCCCCGCCCCCACCCCCTCGGCCGCCCCCGCGACCGCTTACGCAACGCCCTTCCGCGCGACCAACGACGCGGCGCGGCCCTTCTGGGCTCCGTTCAGACGGAGGATGGGGTAATATTCCAAGGGGCGATAAGCATGACCGAACCAGAAAGGCCCCCTCGCAACTGAAAGTCCCAACGTGAGTACACAAAATTACTTCAAAAACTATATTTTAACCTTTGCGATTTAAAAAATTAAAATATGTTCAATTACTAAGAATTAATGAAAATATTTTGTTACAAAGGAGGAGTTTTCTAGTCTCCCCTCCCTCTATTATAACAATCGCTAACACTTACAAAATAGTCCCCTCTTTCTGAATTACATCAAAGTAACTTTAAAAAAAAGTATTTTATTTATATTTTACACATTTTATAATTTAAACACGAGTTACAATTGTGATTAATTTTAACATAAAAATATATTTTGAAGTTAATAACATAATAGTTTTTTTTAAATGCAAGAATGCATGGCAAGCATTCAATTTGAGTGATAAAACATCTGTATCTTATGTTCAATACATTGTATTCTGTGTTATGTAATGTACTTTTAATGTGTTACTGCCAAACTTTTTAATAAAATCTTATATTTTGTGATATTTTCTACTTCTAAACACATTCATTTGGTAGCTTGTTCAAAGTATTCTATTTGTAATAAAATAAAACCAGTGGTACATATATATTAGCGTACGCACCTTTATATTGAATTTTTTTTATTTTAATACCATTTATTAAATTGCAAAGGTATTAGATTTACTTTTATTACTTCTTTTTTAATATTATAATATCAATTATTAAGTCTCATTGTTTGGCCATGCTTATTGATCCTCAAGACGATAATCCAGGATTGGTTCTATTCACAACTTGGTCCAGGAAGCGAGTAAGAATTTTTTTTGTAGTTCATTGATGTGTGGGAATAGTACGGGAGTAAGGATGTTTATATCCTCTCTTTCATACTTTTTCTTTAATCATTTTTGCAGACTGCTGGTTCCACTCTTTCTCATAAAACCAACTAACTGTATACACTTAAAAATATCTGCGTCAAAGGTCAGTATCAATAGTTGACTCATGCAAGTCTTCCTCACGACTTCAAGCACAACTCCAAATATATCTGGCTTAGTTATGGCAAGCCACAGCTCCATGTCCTTTGCCACTCTAACATGATCTAAATGTTTAGTGCGTCACAGTTTGTTTGGACAATTACTATAAACCAATCAGAAGCTGGCTGTGAAAACATACAGTCAACATTTTTTTTAACTGCTGCAATATTCATTTCTACTTCCTTTTCCCTCATAAAATATTTTGACTCTTAAAACAGATTTAATGTCTTGTCTTGACTGATTAAAAATATGGGTCACAGAGAAATTTATTTTAAAAAATGAAACTAACATAACCAAATTTTGCAAAGATGAAACAATAGATTTCAACTTAATAAAAACTGACTTATGAAAACAAGTAATTTTCTAAAAAAGTTTATATTTCAAAAGTACACTTTTTGTAAGTGAAATTTAGTTCAATTTTGATTAAACAAATCAACCTCTACTTAAAATAAAAACCATTTCAGATGGGAAGAGCAGACATATTCTTAATGTATGTTATTTTTCATCTTAAATAATTTATCCAACACCCAATCTCTCAATACCCTGCTCCATTAAGGAGAAAAGACCCTATCACCACACTGCAACTTCTTTTAATTAATGTACCAGCTCACAACTTGCAGGCCACTTCAGGCGGTGGCTCCTGGCTAAACAAATACAAACAGTTTCCTTCAGACTTGCACACATGTGCAATGCATGGCCGTCACAAAAAAACAAACACACCCACCCCAAGACACAGAAAACACGAAAGTCAACTCCCTCACAATTCGAGCCACACTACACACAGCAGCAAATTGCTTTTACTCAGGAGCGAAAAGAGCTGAACTTGATGCAGCAACGAAAAGCCGCACCAGCCAGCCAATTGCGTTAGCAGCATTGAGAGGCCGGCTAATCCAATACGCGTCCATCTGGCAGATGGCTGTGTCAACACAAGCGCCAGCAAACTGGGGCCAAACTCAAGGGTTCTCTGCATGTATTAAACATGGCTGCTGTGTCACAGGGCAGGAGGGGTGCCTACTGAGGCAGCGAGAGCACACAGCTCTTCGGTGATTAAAACTTTATCAACACTCAGATCGACAGATGCATGATGGATATAGTATCTACTGGCTTAATAGGGATTAATGATTCTTAATCCATAAGAAGCCTGCCTGTGTAACTATCTAATAATCAACAATTAAGCAATGGCTGACAAAAATACTTCTGTCAAAATATCAACAACATATATTGTTGTTTCTTCACTCAAAATAGATTCATCAAAATTTTAGAATTCTGTTTAATTAACTAGTTCAAAATATTTACTTGTTATTCTCTGATTACATTAAAATTCAAAAGTGCTTTGGAGGGAAATGCTACAAACATGGCACATCCTTTGATACATGTTACAAACAAAAAAGCTGAAATTTTCTGATCACAATCCTATTTTCTCTCTGAGCGGTCTGTTCTGAAATCAATCCTCAAAGTAATTTTCATCGCCTAAGCAAAATTTGCTAGAACAAATGTTGTCTTGCAGAGCTATCGATAACCTTTTTTCATATTACAAGATACAAAAATTGGAAATAGAAGAACAAACTTGATGGATCTCCCTCTGGGCTGAAATTATCATGCACAGTCATGCCTAAAAGATCAGTTAAGTACAAATCTCCAATATTAGGGAAATTTTGAATGTTTGTAATGCATACCAATAATAGCAATTGCATTTCACACATGTCATTGCCTGTTATATCTTAAATTATCAAATTATTTCAAAATGATATTATATTAAGAATTTCAAAGACAGGCTCTATGACTTAAAAGTAGTACAATATGAAAATATATTTCAAAATTAATGCACTTTTCAAAATGAAGGTCACTATGTAATAACAATAGCACAATCTATTAATCTGAGACAACATGTAATTTGCAATCATTGTTTTAATGTTAACATGAATTTTATGATTATCTAATACATTAACTAATTTCAGATATCATTAACACAATTTTGAGAGACTTTGTACTTTCCTGAAAAGGATTTAAATATGTACTCAGAAGTAAAAACATTAAAAACGTACATTGCATTCAGAGGAACTTTCAGTCTGATAGTTTTCAAATAGCCCTCTAATCAAATCAATGAAATGTCTAATTCCATTTCCACTAGGTTTTTCTATAAATGTCTTTTTGCAATGAAAAAATTACTTTTAAGAGCAAAAAAGTGGACATTTTCCCTTAAGTGCTCCATTGGATCTTAGTAGATCCCTTAAAACATTGTTCCATCATAATTTGGATAGTTTTGTCTAAGAAAGATCACTGACTTCTGAGCACACACACCAATGAAAGAAGATATTTAGTACTCACATTTTACTGTCTGCTCTTGACGTTGCCACCAGATCGTATATCTGGGCGCCATTGTGGGAGGTGTTTACCAGGTACAAAGCTTTGTTATCTGCAAATGAAACAACAGTTTTTGAAAACATCTCTCAGTGGTGTTACTTATTTGACAAAGTAATTTTAAATTTTCTACAGTATAACAAGGTTATTCGATTTGTATATCCTAGTTCTAGAGGAATAACTAAGTGGTTAGCACAAATACTTTCATAAGCAACTGCAGTGCGAGAGATAAATAAAATTAATGGGACTATTAACAACAGTGAACGTTACTTTCATTCTGTCAAAAGCAACCAACAGTTTTTTTATCATTGTGGTTGCCACAACAATGTCACAATAATTGATAAGAAAATTAATAAATAAAAGTCTTCAAAGAGTGATAAAACAACCAATCAGCTACATATAATGAAGTAAATTGTAGGAAACATTGCATCACTGACATTAGAACAAAATAAAATTAACCACCTATTTATAACTACATTATCTGTGATAAGTTGAAGGGTTCGAAAATGAAATCTAGGCTTCTAGTGTAAGTCCTGTTAAGATAAATTCAATTGCTAGTAGTTCTAAACACAACAGTACGTTGCAAGCTCCTCATTCGCATTGCCTAAATTTGTTGAAGATTCTTTTTGTAAGGGAATAGTATGCAAACCATTATGTAACTACAGAATAAGAGATAATATTATCTAGTCAATTGTTAGTTACTACATTATTAAATTAACTGTAATGAGGACCAAATTAAATTTTTCCCCAAGTTCTTCATACAACTATTCTTTGACATCACAAAAATCAATTAACATATACTTCGGAAATGCAATTCTAAGCATTCTGAAATGACAGCACAATTACCTAATAATTATTCAAAAATATTTATCAATGAATCTCATACGTTTATCAAATTGTAAGAAAACAACCTCATAATACCTCCAAACCCTTTAGTTTTAAAATCAATTTAGGAAACTGCCAACTTATCAATCTCCTCCAAGGAACAATGTTTTAATAACAATGCTACTAAATATTTTTGATAGAAACGTGTGAAGATAGAATGTGAGGTAGTTTCTTAACATAGCTGCAGCAAGTGTGTTTTCAGCCACATTAGGGCCATCTTCAGTCCAGTTACTTCAATCCAGTACGGAAGATGGTAATGGTGTGGAAAAGCTTTTTTGCTTCAATAAACACAATGATACAATCAATTTCTTCTAATTATGAAAATGTAATACATCCTATACCTCTTTCTACAATTAAATACTTATGGTTAAAATAATTTATGAAATCATCAAACTAACATCCTAATCAAAAAACTCTCATATCCAGAACTCCGCATTGCCCTTATACTTTATTTGATCTTGACAATGCAGTTACAAACAAATATCAGACTTTTTGGCGCAGTATAGGTATCTAATTTAAAAATGGGTAATGTACTCACCCACAGCGTTTGGCCGCACCAATACCGTGGAGACTCTGATGATAGGCGAGAGCATGCGGTCTGCGGCATTGTGACTGTAGAACTTGAGAATGAACTTGTCGTCCTGCTTCTGCAGAAGGATGATGAAATCCTCCAGGAGCAGTACATGTAGGTCAATGAGCTTTTGCGCTTTGTTGCCAATGCGCCACGTTAAGGACCCTTCATGTACTAGCTTGTGCTTCGTCAGGTCAAGGTTCTATAAACAAAAACAAATACATCATGAATGTTCATCTAGATACATATGTTATCATGAAATAAAATGAAAAAAGTAAATTATAAATGAAAGAAAGGCGAAATAAAAGAGAAAGAGGAAGCCAAGGCATAACAGAATTTCTGAGATATTACAGAATATACTTAATAAGAAGTACTAATTCGAAACTTATTTGATTAAGAGGATTTTAAGAAAATTCATTAATATCTCACTGCACTCCAACCAAGTATTTTACTTCGTTTTACTACAGAAGTATCTGATTATTAATATTATTTTTTTCTCAAAAGATCACAATACTATAATTAATGGTAGAAATGATACACCATCAGAGTACAAGATATAATACAAGATATAATTTACTCGGACAATATTTTAAAAAATTCCAGTTCTGAAATTTTCAAACTGGATTCTTATTAAGAGCCACATGGAAGAACTGTAGCTATTTAAAATATATTTAAGAAAGAATAATGGTAATGAATAATATGTGACCACTGATATCAGGTATTTTTTGTGCAGTAAAAAGTACATTCATGAAAAGAAGTTTCTAAATAAATTTTAAAAAGTGTTTCATTTTCATTCTTTTGGCCAAGAAAAGTGTTCAAGTACAATTATTATAAAGGCACTAAGAAACGTGAAGAATAAATCATGGAAATTGTTGGAACAATATTTTGGAACATATGTTTAGGATCAGACATAACCAACCATCTTTCATATTCTCATAAAAGCTAGGAATTCAGAACGTCATAAGATGCAAAACGTTTGTTTGACATTTCTCTACATGAACTAATGAGACCGTCGCCACCAACTGCTCTTCATCATAAACACACCCTATTACTAGGAAACTGTAACACTGAGGATAACCATACCACGCTCAGTAAACAGAAGAGCCTAGCAAGCATTTACTCCTCTTAAAAAGATATTGTCCAGTACCCCATATTCCATTTTACACAGTCAGTGACTTATTTTCACACTTTTAACTATGTTAGAAAGTAGACTAATGTTATTAATTTACTGGACAATTTGTTTTTATTCCATGTTTTTCGAAAAAAAAATACTGTTTACAATTTCACAACTTCATTTTTGTTGAAAACCAGTGCCAGTGCTTATTTTGCACTAGTAAGACTATAATTTTCTGTGCAAGTTGAATGAAATGATATAGAAAGGAAATTAAACACAATTAAATTGGAAAGAAAATTTTATTTTACATTGTGACTAAATTGTCTGTAATAAATTGAATGAATGAATCAATTAATGAATGTAGAAAATGAATAAGTTATTAACTCCTCTTACATCACAGATTTTCATGAGTTATCTTCTTTATCCTCCAGCCAAAGCCAAAACAGTAGAAAATCTGTTAACCAAAATGAAGGAGGCAAGGATCTTTCAGGATTACCAACATTTTGGTTGACAAGAAAGTGTCAATTTTTCAAGCAAAAGGTGTAATAAAAATTACTTTTCCAGCTGTCATGTTGGACTTTTAGTCTTTAAATATAATTGTATATGTACATACTATTTTTCCAATTGGCGAAAGCCTACTGTTATGGCTACTGACTTGCCGACTGGGCAGGGCGAATGTATAGCAAGCTGAATGCAAAATGAAACACATACGCTGTACTTCTGCCTTTCTCCTCCCTATCTCTCAGAAGAGCATTGGCAGGTCAAAGGACGCATTGTACTGGTTTTATTTCCTCTCTTTTCAGCCCCCCCCCCCCCCCCCCCCCATCTCTTTTTGGAGGACAGGACTGTTTCAGTTAAAGGATTATTATTAAGATACTGTACATCTATGCTTCCATTCAAAAACTTTCTGCTTCTCTAACAATTGAATCGTTTATTTTCAGGCTTTGACTATAAACACTGTACCAATATAGTATTAACTTTACAATCTTTTTCCATGGAATATAAGTGTAATGACAGAAATTAAAAACTCCAATGCACAGTCCAAGTATTTTTTACTGCTACATGAAATGCATTTCACCATTATCTTACAATTTAATAACTGGCCAGACTTACTTTAAACTCTGCTGCAATGGGATGTTCAGCTCGTTCAAATGCAGATTTATCCAGTTTTTTCTGAATGTCTGACAGTCTTTGTTGGTCCTCTGCTAGTCTCACAGCATGGTTCACATGATTGAGAATCTCTTTACTCCTTTCCACTGCTCTTTGGACACCATTTACTTCTTCTTGGCTTCCGGATGTGTATTTTGCTAGGTTTTCAAAGAGGAGAGGGTATTTTGTTAACCTGGAAATTAAAAAAAAAATGTTATACTTTTATAAGGATTGTTGCCACAGTAACTAGAGAGTAAAACAAAATACAATACAACATGAAATACTAATATATAATATAACTATCATTAGTCGATTTTTGCAGCAATGTCAAGAAACAGTAAATGTACTTTTGGAAGAGTCATTATAATACCTTTTTTGACAGTGTATTATATTTAAACACCACTAAGAATAAACTTCTAAACTTGCTACCAAACATCTTATACAATGTGAAGGTAGCACATTAAATGTTTTGCAATCGACTGCAGCACAGTTCAAACAATGCTCCTGAATAATTGTCATCTCCATAAGGGCCCCATTGATACTACAATTATTTATTAGAAAAAAATGATACCATACTAATAATTTTAATGATACATAAAGCAAAACCAATTTCTCTTCCCTAGTTGCAAGAAATTAATTTCTAAAACGTGGTATTAATTATTTGGAGATTTTGGATTTACAACCTGAAGTTCTTCCTGAAATTCATGGCATCTCCCCAACAGCTGCATCCAAACTCATGTGCACTGACTTAATTTCTAAGGAAGTAGGATACTGACTAATCTTATCTTATCCAGGCAGTAACCTTTAAGTTTGCAAGAATCTATATGCCTGATAACTAAAATAAACAAATATTTCAGAACTATGAGTAACACCTGTCCAAGGAGGAATACAAAAAGAAAAGAGATGAATTCAAAACAACAAATACATAGTATACGCATTATATGATGCAAGTCAAGATATCTAAGATGTGAAGATGGTTACATAACTCTTGATTACAGTTTTTATCTGATAACACTTCACATTCAGGAATATTTGGAATTTCCTAATTGTGTCAAATACTCTCTAAAAATTACAAAAAGAGCATTTTTTTGAAGATCCTTTATCGACAAACTAGGTCTACATAAAATTTTGCCAGCGGTTAGTAAATAGTCCCAAACCTAACAAAAGCCACCGATAACCTAACAGTACAACAAAACAGAAATACCAATTTGGTAGGCGTAATCTCTAAAATTGAAGTCAATACTGTCAAAAATTACAATTCACTTCCTACGTGTAAGTTTTTTCCTTTCAGATTGGCCCAGAGAAAAAAGAACAATTTCTTCACTATTTAATGAAA